CTCCAGGGTTTCCCCTCCCCCTCCCATCCCCCTCCCCCACCGCGCGTCCCCCCGGGATTTTTATTACGACAAGCACAGCGAGGGACCCCCGACCCCCCCACTTTGCACTTTTAGAGGGGGGGGGGGTCTCACAGGGCCCCCCTCGAGGTTGGGTGGGGTTTGGGGGGGCGGGGTTGTTTTGGGGGAGGGGCGGGGTCGCGTCTTCCCCCCTCCCCCGGCGCCGCTTTTCTCGTTCTTCCAGTTCCGTTTTCCGCCCGTGGGAACCATTTGCACTATGGGGGAGGGGAGGGAGCGGGGCCGGGATCCGGCCGGCGGCCAATGGGGAGCGGCGCTGCTGAGAAAGGGGCGGGGCCGAAGCCGCGGCCAATCGGGGGGCAGGGATCCAGCGTGGAGCCAATCAGGAGAAGGGGGTGTGGCGTCAGGGTGTGGGTGTGGAGCCAATCAGGAGGAGCGGAGGGTTCAGTCGGGATTCCGGGCTGAGCCAATCAGGAGCGGCGCTGGGCAGGGGTGGGATCCGGTGTAGAGCCAATCAGGAGCGACTGAGGAGGAGGGGTCTGGTGTTGAGCCAATCAGGCGCGATTTTATTGGGGGTCGGATTTCGAGCCAATCAGCAGCTACCGGTCTGGGCAGGATCCGGTGTCAGGAGCCAATCAGGAGGGGCAGGATCAAGAGGGGGTGGGGCCTGGCCTTCGGCCAATGGGGGCGGCTCCATGGGGGCAGGATCTGGTGTGGAGCCAATCAGGAGGGGTGGGATCAGGTCTGGAGCCAATCAGGAGCAACCGTGGGGTCAGCTGGGATCCAGTGTTCGGCCAATCAGGAGCTGCGATTCCAGAGGGGGAGCAGAAGGCGGTGGGGAGGATTCGGGATCTCCCCCTTTGGAGGCGTGGTCGAGTCAGGAGCCAATCAGGGAGCGGGCGGGGTCGGCGCCGTCCAATTAGGGCTGAGATCCTGTGGGGGCGGGGCTGGACGCAGCCCCAGGAGTGACTCCGGGTGGGGGCGGGGCCCGGCCGGGATCCAATCAGGAGTGGTTTGGATTGGAGGGGCGGGTCCGGCCCCCGCCCAATGGGGTCGCTCCGTGCTGGAGGAGGGATCCGTTCGTGGCCAATCAGGAGAGGCCATGGGCATGGTGGGAGCCAATCAGGAGCAAGGGTGAGATCCAGTCCAGAGCCAATCAGGAGTGAGCATGAGGGGGGAGATGGGATCCAGTCTGGAACCAATCAGAATGGAGGGTGGGATCTGGTACGGAACCAATCGTGATCGAGCTGGGCGGGGCTGGGATCTGGTCCAGAGCCAGTCAGATTTCACCATGGGTGGAGCCGGGATCCAGCCGGGAGCCAATCAGAAATGAGGGTGGGATGTGAGCGGGAACCAATCAGGAGTGGGCTGGGATCTGGTCCAGAGCCAATCAGGAGCGAGCACGGGGCGATCCATTTGACCTTTGGGGGGGGGCTGGGGGCTGGTTGTCCCGCCCCTCCCCCACTCATTCCCCCACCCCCCCCAATTCCCATCCCGGGGTGGGGGAGGGGTCCCCATCCTGCACTTTACCCACTCTGGGGTGGGGGGAGGGGTCGGGGTCACCCCCCCCCCTTGTGCCCC